ACTTTGTAGACTGAAGTACATTATGATTCATTCTCCGAGGATCTTGCGTTGAACTAGTATAAGTTCAAAATATTTGCTTTGTAGTTTTCACAGAATACACTCAACGCTTCTCGAATCAAGTAGTTATATAACGAGATGGCAAGCTACTAATTATATAACGGAGCAGAAAGGTACCCGGATTTGATATAATTCCATGAATATTTTGCTCTTAGAGTAGCAGCATAAGACTTGAAATGTTGGCTACTCTGTATTTCTTTGTTGCAGCCAATACTACACAAGGTTCAAATCCTACTGTTGCGAAGCCTACAACATTCTCCTGAAATCGAGCAACCTTATTTGAATCTGTTTCATCTCATGGCGGGTTCAACTATTCCCGATATAGCTTCAGACCCGGAAAAGGGCATTCTCAAAGTAAGTTTCTTTCACTTTTTCACCTAAACAACTTGAAACCCACTATTCTTCTCCAACCGGATTAGATGTTGCTTTGTTCCATATTATCTCGTAAATGGTGTCTTTTTTTTATTCAGCTCCAGGAAAAGTTTAGGCTTGACATGGATGGCTGGCTCAAAAAAATTAAGGACCCTGAACTGAAAAATATAATTGGCCCTTATTTTCTATGTTTTTTTTGTAAAAAAAATTTTGGACCCTAATTTTAATAAATTTAGTTGAAAAAAAAAAATGGATCCTGTGCATGAGCACCTCCCGCACATGCCTAGAGCCGGGCCTGTGGATGACGAAGCATGCATGCATTTCTTTCAAGACCTGATTAATGAAAGCGTAAATATACAGATGGGCTCAATACTTTTTATTCAGATTTGTTGTCCAGAAAACATAAGATCTCGTTTGGTATGATTGGATTTCTAAGAGCTTCCTGTTTTTCAAAATCCATTAATTCGGAGCTCTTGTCCCATAACTTTATAATATTTATAAAATTGCCACATGAATTATGATATTTACGAAATTACCCCAGAATAGTTGGTAATTACAAAATTGCCCCCACAAATATTTACGAATTTGCCCACAACTTTATCAGATTTACAAATTTGCCCTATGAATTACGATATTAACGAAATTGCCCCATAACTATCGCTATTTACAAAATTGCCCCACCACTTATGATATTTACGAATTTGCTCCATAACTTTATGGTATTTACAAATTTGCCCTATGACTTATGATATTTACGAAATTGCCCCATAACTATCGGTATTTACGAAATTACCTTATAAAATCGTTGCCAACAAATCTTTTACAAAATATATTAATCCCAACTAACTGTTGCCAAAAATCTCGCCCAAGAAAATCTACATTAAGAAAGACAAATAAGTAATTCATGTACATTCATTTTAGTTAATATCTAATTTAAAAGATTTGTTTTTTCTATAAATTTAATAAACAAATAACATGTATAGAAATAAAAAGATTTGTCTTGCGACTCCATAATAAACCCTAGAATTAGATCTTAAGTCTATAAATACCATACAATTTAGAACAGTTCTATATTCCTCACAAGAACAAACTAAAGCTATCAAACAATTATGAGTACTTTCTAATGTTGTTCTTTTGTTTTTAATGGTTTACATTTATGCTTTTGTATCTTTACATTTAATTAGTAAAAAATTTTGGTTTTCTAAATATTTTTCATACCATGTGAACATTGTACATGTCACCTACGAGAACTTCAAAGTCGGTTTGTCGAAGTTATGGTGAGAACCTCCATCCATGTATTAGTTTTTTTTTTTTTTTTTGAAAAAGCGTGTTAGTCAAATTCAATTTTTTATCCCAAAATGTAAGTGTTTTAATCCTTTTTTATATGTTTTAATACGCCTTATCATCTTCTCTTATTTGCAACGAAGAAGAAATCAGCTTGCAATTTTATTTTCCTACTTATTGTTGATCACAATACATTTGTGGCTAAAAAATGATGAGGACATAAACAATTATATCTTTCATGGCTTCTTTTCTACGTGGTATAGCTTTGTCGATTTTTTTTATTTTGTTTTTTAAAGGAGTTTACAGTGAATAATTAAACAAACGTGATATGTGATTTATTATGGTTTGGAACTTTGGCTTCTCATTTAAATCAATTCTCAAAGTCAAAAATAAAACAAATTGTTATCCGGCATTCTCATTTATTAGGCGTTAAATTAAAAGTGTTATCCAGTTTACTCCGCTTTTTTATTTTAAATAATTGAAACTTTTTTAAAGTTTCAAAATATTATAAATATTTCAACTTTATAAATTAAAAGTTAAATATTATAATTGTTTAAACTTTTTAAAAAGTTAAACTTTATAAAACAATTTTATTATTTATAATATTAAATTTTATGAAGTTTCAAATATCATAAATATTTGAACTTTATAAAAATTTATAAGAAGTTTAAACATTATAAGTATTTAAACTTTTAAAGTATTTATAATATTTAAACTCTATAAAAAGTTAATAATATTAATAATATTTGAACTCTATAAAAATTAAAAATATCTATATATATTATGGAATCTATTTAAAGCAAACTTTTAAATTGACCTAAATTATATGTTTTTAAATAAAAGTATTATCAAAAAGAAAAATAACAAAATGATGTTTAGTTTCACGGGGTTATATGGTGGAACGGGTTAAGGTCGATATTAATACGAGACGGTATATTACGAGTGAAATCCTAGAATTAACAATCAAAATATAATTATACAATTTTAAACACTAAACAAAATAAATAATACAACAAAACAAATACAACTTAAAATTTATTTTTTTGTTATAAAAAATCGACCAGTAATGTACCGCGGAGTTATATATATATATATATATATGTACATGTAAATCAAACAAATAATAGGTTATATCTATCGATAATCTTCAAAAAAATTAATTTTTATTTTCTTAAAAAAATATAGCCCCGTAGTGTACCGCGGGTTAATCTAGTGTAAATTGTAGTGAACAACGTAACGACGAGATCATTATTCGCTAAATATGCTAGAGGCTCTAATTTATTTACTTTTTTATAGTTTAGATTTGCTAAATACTATAAACTACACTCTAATAAAAATACGATTTCATTAAAAAGTCAAACGGAGTTATATCCAGGGGCGGAGCCAATTAAGAGGGAGGGGGTCAGTTGACCCCCATAACATTTTAAGTATTGAAATTATAAGGTAAATTATCTAATGATTTTAGATATTTTGGTACAAAATTTCCTAGTTGACCCCTATGTCATGCCATAATTTTATGTCTTTGACCCCATTCATATTTAATTTTTCATTCAACATTAATTTTCTTTCTATGTTTGTTTTGTTTTTTCCTAAAAAATGATTACAATTCTCTAATATTTTTTTACATATTGATTCTTTTTCTTTGTATCATTGGATATCTTGTTTTTTTTTTGTCCTTTTTCTCAAAATTGTTTTCACATATATTTCTATAAAATATCATAAATCAAGATAAATATATTATTTAATACTAATATGTAATTAAATGAAAATAATAATATATATGACCCCTATAAACAAAAATCATGGCTCCGCCACTGGTTATAACTCCACAATTTATATAAATAAAAGTAAAAACTGAACTTAATTTTTATGTTTAATCATTGGTTGGGGAATCCTATTAAAAGTAAAAACGGAGTTAATCATGATTGTTTACTAAAAACGCTTCATATTCGATTGCATACTACATTTTGCCATTTTGGTATAAACATTTTCCAATAAAATGGTAAGTGACTCTCTAGTCCCTAGTCCCTACAAGGCTACAACCACCGTGAGATTTTTAACATAATCATAATCTTCTAAATCTAGTAAGTAATACAATTACGCCGATCTCAATTTTAGTTAAATATGATGATTATTTCAATCTATACACCGCAAAGTAACGGATTTTCAATGGATTTTCGTGCAAGAAAACATATCATACATGTTTATTTAGTACACTAATAATGAAAGATGTTTTTATAAAAACGTAACTGTATTCTTTCAATTGACTAACAATTTCATACATGTTTAATGTTTTATTTGTAGATGTCTAAAAGAAACACAACTAGCAACAAAAGAAAAGAACCCGTGTCTCCAACAGAGTCGCCAAAGACAAAAAGAAAACTACCTCCAAGATCACCAGCATAAAATGTGAAAGGAACCGAACCGTCACACGACCTGATCAACGTGTTGACTTCTCGGTTTGCCTCAAAAACGAAATCTTGAAAGTTCAAGTAATGAATAAAACCAACCTGAGAAAAATAATTAGAAACGAGGGTGAGTAATTAATTACTCAGTGAGAGGGTCAACAATGCCCACTGAAACATAATGACAACAATTTACTCAAATTCAACAATCATTTCATAGTATAGATTCAGATTCCACATTCTCAAACATACGTCCAACAACGTTACATTTTCATATAATAACCAATCATACACATATAAAATCATCAACAATAACGCTAAACCAAAATCTCATCAGCTTAGCATGGTACGAACCAATCTCAAGATCGTCCAATCATAAAGACGAAACCAATCTCAGGCTCATCAATTCACTTGGCACGAAACTAATCTCAGGCTCGTCCAATTAATTGGCATGAACCAATCCCAGACTCGTCCAATCCCTTGGCACAAACCAATCTCAGGTTTGTCCAACAACTCATATTAAACCATATCAAATTAATTTATCATACATCCAAAAATCACACAATATCAATCAATAGACATACATCCAAGCACATAGTTTCTAAGCCTATACACGCAATACATGAAGAAAATGCTTAGAAAGTAACCACAATGTTTCCGCAAATCTCACCCTCACCTTTGCCTTAATTTAGTTGAAAACAGCGACGAGCAAGCTGCAGTTCAAAGAGCTTGATTCTAATGGACAAAAAGAGGAAAGGACCTCCAATGGCAATTAATTGGGACAAAGCTCGCCATATGGTAAGGTTCTTGAAAGCTTTCTATGATTCGACTTTAGCATTCTCTTTTTCTATAAAAGTGACATCAAATGGTTGTTACAATGAGATCTGCAAGATTCAGTCAAGTGTGCAAAGTATGGCTTTCAGCGACGATTCTGCTTTGAGAGATATGGCTTCTTTAATGAAGGTCAAGTTTGACAAATATTGGGAAGGTACAGAAAAAATCAATAAGATATTGATAGTGGCTGGTGTACTTGATCCTCGTCGCAAAATGGTATTTACAATGCTCAGCTTTGAACTAATCTATGGAAAAGGTAATCCAAAATGCATTGAAATGAAGGAACTGGTGATGGATGTTTTGGAGAAACTGTTTAAGATATATAGTGTTCGATACGCGGCATACGATAATTCAAATCTACAATCTTCTGCTACCCGTGACGGCGAGAATTTAACCCAAGTACACCAAGACTCTGAGAGTATGGAGGTTGACAACATTGATGATCCTTTTCTAAAATTCATGGTTGCTAAGAAGACTTCTTTAGAAGTGGTAAATGAGTTGGAAAAGTATTTAAAAGACGAACTGCATGTAACTACTGAAAATAGTTTGGGGCTCCCGTTTGATCTTCTAGATTGGTGGAAGACAAATAGCTCAAAATACCCAATCATGTCTTTAATGGCAAGAGAGATTCTTGCAGTACCAGTATCTTCGGTTGCATCGGAGTCTGCTTTTAGCACGGGTGGTCGTATTCTAGATCAATATAGAAGTTGTTTGAATCCTGAAATGGTTGAAGCGTTGGTTTTGACTCAAGATTGGTTACGTGCTTCACTTCGTTCGGAAGCAATGAAGTCTCTTGATAATCTAGAGGAAAAAAACAAGTTTCTGGATTCACTTGAAGAAGGTATTTTACTTTATCTCTTTATAATAATCATATACGACAATCACTTATAGATTAACTTTCTGTTCATGTTAGTGTCTAATTTTTTTTTTTAATTTTGTTAGAGTTTAATCCTCCATCTCAGACTGAGAACGATAGGTACACGTCTAAGTAAACGATTAGTGGGAGAAGAAAAACACTATCCCTTAAAGAGGCCGTAATGATCTTTCCATTAGATATATATTAGTTTTATGGTGTTGGTGCTTTTCTGTTTTAGAGAAGTTTGAAATTGATTGTTTATGGTTTTTTTTCCTCTGTTCTTAATAGTACTCTGTTTCGGTTTCCAATATTATTCACTGAAAAGTCATATGTATATATATTTGTTTTCAGTGTAAGGAGTGACTGGTTCTTATTTGAAGAGATGAGTAATCATTGGTTTTATTGTTTTTGTATAGTTATAAACTTATATGCAAGTTATTGACTTGTTGCAGATTATTCTTGATGACATTGCGTGAAGGATTCATGGAAGATTGCCTATGTTACGTTGTTGGATTTCATTTTCCTTTTCTTCTAATTACTATGGTTGGGTTTTTTTAGGTTTTTCTTTTCATGGTTAATTTGAATTATTCAATTTAAACTTACAACTTAAACTTGATATTTAATTACTTTATCAATTTCAATGTTCAAACTTCAAAGGCAATGAAATTTTTTGTTTCTTTTACATTAATTGATTTTTTGAACCAATCTTTATCAATTACTTTATCGGTCTCCTACCAATCTTTTTTAGCACGATTGTCATGAATACTTCTGTGGCACAATTACTGACCTTTACCGTACAAAAGGCATGACCATGAACAGAAAAAAATCTCTTCTTCAATCGAGATCATATCCTTATATGAACTCCTTGGCAAAAGTATCAACAGAACATCAAGCTTCTCTTTGAAACGAATTGGACTCGGCTTGACTCTCTCCTCTATTTCAATGGCGGTTGCAGCCATTGTTGAGGCCAAGAGGAAACACGAGGCGGTTCAAAATGACGTTAGAATCTCTGTTTTTCTGGCTAATGTTTCAGTATCTCATGCTAAGTTTCTCGGATATATTGACCTTGGGAGGGATGCAAGAGTTTTTCTATAGAGAAGCTCCGGCGAGTATGAAGAGTATGAGCATAGCATTGGGGTGGTTCTCCATCGCAATGGTTTTTTTCCTTAGCTCACTTCTTGTGGCGATCGCCAATGCGGTCTCGGGCTGGCTTGGCCATCAATGGTTAGGTGGGGAAGATCTGAATAAATCCAGACTTGATCTGTTTTATGTGCTTGTATGTGTTCTTAATACTCTTAATCTTCTCAACTATATTTTCTGGGCAAAGAGATATTAAGAAAATGAATAAGTATGTATATAATGGATTTGAAGTTGCTTGTATTGTTGGCAACTTGGCATAGAAATCAACTAGTTGAGAACTAGAGATGCTTTTGGATTATATGACTTTAAACGTACGCAAATATCTTGCTCGACTAAAAATTAGGGTCCTTTACAAGATACAATTTTTCATTTTGATACCAATAAATAATTATTCTGTCTCGGTCACTTGTATATAGACAAATTAAATTACTTAAAACAAAATCATCAACACAAAATCAATGTGTCGACCACAAGCAGATTCTTTGATTGGTCTATTACATAATCAAATGAATAAGAGGGACAAAACAAGATTGGACTGCATCAATAGTATCACCCTCATATCTTTTTGTGCGTGTGTCATTTGCCTTCTCAGTTCTCACGCTACAAAATCTCCTTTTCATCCTTCCTACTTCCTACAGTCTACAGACGAGAAAGGTTGGTGCCTACGGGAAAATAAGAGACGACGATCGTGGGAGTTCTCGGGGACTTAGTTTTGCTTTTCGGTTTCTTCAAAGACAAGACTTCCAAGTTACTATCGGTTGTGTTAATCCGTGAACCAGATTTTGAAACAAAGCAATTGAAGAAGAGTGTGAAGAGAGACATCTTTGAAGTATTAAAACTTAAGTGTGAGTTTTAAGTTAATTTGAACTACTATGCATGTCAGACAATGTATATATATAAGGGGATGGTGAATGAAGTCACTGAATCTTCTTTGTACACGTCTTCTTTTTGGAAAGTGACATCTACCTTGGCGACCAAGCTCAAAAGTGAATAGTTTCGTTGTCCGTTTTAATTATGTCATTTGACAAGTCTTCGTACGTGAACTTCAAGGACTTTTGACTCTCCGTGTAAATAATTTGGAAGGAAGACTCCATAATGAATTAATTAGTCTATTCGGATTTAAAGTGGATTTTTTAATTTACATCTTTCCTTTTTGGTAATTTTCTTTTCCCAAGATATTGATAAATATTTTTTCTTTATCTCTATTTGGATTGAGCTAATTTTTTTTTTTTTCAATCAGCATATTATTCTTTATATAAAACTAGATCGAATCCTCAATTTTTGTATGTATAATAATAGAGAAATTCCTAAAAATAGCCCTAAAACAAGTTTTATTGACAATAATAGCACACACTCCATAAACTTCCAAAAATAGCACTAGTTAGCTTACTATTAGTGTTTTTGTTCTAAAAATTTTATCACTAGTTTTTTTTTCAATAATACCAAAATTTTTATATAAAAGCTATTCAACAAAAGAAATTAGAAATAAATTTAAAATATTATATTTGGGTTCTCTATTTCCAATTTAGGGTATATATTTCCACCATTTAAAAGAGATTTTGATTCATTTTAATATTAGTTTATGGTATTATATTTGGGTTCTCTATTTCCAATTTAGGGTATATATTTCCACCATTTAAAAGAGATTTTTTTTTTAATATTAGTTTGTGGTATTATATTTGGGTTCCCTATTTCCAAATTATGGTATATATTTCCACTATTTAAAAACAATTTTGATTCAATTTAATATTAGATTAGTGTTTGCTCTTTTTTTTATTTTCTATCTTATATTTTCATTAAGTTTAATTGAAGTTTATGGTGCTATTTGTGGAACTTTTCAAATGAGGTGCTATTTTTGGAAAAAACAATTTTTTTGGGGCTATTTGTGTCAATCTCCCATAATAATATGGGTTTATTATCTTAATTTTGTTATTCTTCTCAGAATGAATATCAGCCAAGAAACAATGATTATTGGAGTTTAAATTACAATATAAGATATTTAATACTAAAGCAGCTGAATAGAAATCATGTTTATCATCAAACTTGTAAACGTTGATTTACATTTACATTTGGTTTAATTTATATACATCCCATTAATCGACTTATATATAATACGTAATAAACAAAAAATCATCCTTCATATATCTATTTACTAGATCTAGACCCGCACGTTTGTGCGCGGTAAATTTTATGATACTACAAATCTTAAAAGTTTTAAATTGAAGAATAGTAAAAAAATTATATGAAATGTGAAGTTTGATGTAAAGTAGTGTTACAGATTTTTTATTTTATTTTATGTGTTTTATTAATAGTTTGGTTTAAATGGGTAAAATTATGGTTAGTGAAGAATTGTGTGTAAATATTTTAAAAGAATTGTGTGTTAACCATGATATTTTTTTTTAATTGTTGTAATAATAATTTTTTAAATTAATCTTTAAACTGATTATATTATTATATGGTCTGACACTAAGCTTTTTTTTATGTAGTGGGCAACATTTTATGGACCACTAATAAAGCCTTATTAGCCTAATATATATTTACTGATCTTTTGACGTTATTATCTATACTATTAAATTAGACTGTCGTTACCGGAAATATCTAACATTACCTTTCCAAATTAAATAAGTTAACACAGAAAATGTGTTTTTAGTCAAGTGGTTAAGTCCATTTGACTCCACCTTCTCCACCGGAGTTCGACTCCACTAAGTCGCCTTATCCCGCGTAATAGAGATTGGCTATGGATCGGACCTTATCTATCCAAACATATAAAAAAAAATTAAATAAGTTAACATATATAAAATTTCAAATTTTATTCCTTCATCTATACTAATCAGAATTTATTAATATATTTTTTTAAGGAAATAGATAAAAATCTAAAATATATAATGATATTAAATTGATTTTTTTTTCCCGGAATATCTCAAAATATATTACGAAAGTAAATAATTTTACATATATACAATTTTAAAATTAATAGTTAGATTTTTTATAGAAACTACTTTAAAAATTGTCCATAAATATTGGGTAGTTATTAATTTGTTAATTTTATGGAAACTACTTCAAACGATTTCCATAAATATCGGGTAGTTATTAATTTGTTGATTTAATATTGGATTTAAAAAAAAAAAAAAAATCAAATGGACACAAATATATTTTTCCGATTATTTTTTTTTCCTTTTTCATATTCAAAAATCTTCCTTATTTTCTAGTGATTTCCAATTAATAGTATAGATTCCTTATCTAAATACTAAATCCTTTATTTTTAATTCTAATAAAAATTCATGAAATCGGAAATCAATCATGATTTCTTAAATATCCTTAAATTTTGAAATATCAATCATTCGAATATGCTAATCGGAAATATCTAACATTACCTTTCCAAATTAAATAAGTTAACACAAGAGATGTGTTTTTAGTCAAGTGGTTAAGTCCATTTAACTCCGCCTTCCCCACCGGAGTTCTTCTCGAATAAGTTGCGCTATCCTGCGTAATAGAGATTGACTATGGATCGAGTCTTGTCGATCCAAACATATATAAAAAAAATTAAATAATTTAACATATATACAATATCAAATTTTATTCCTTCCATCTATACTAATTAGAATTTATTAATATATTTTCTTAAGGAAATAGATAAAAATCTAAAATATTTAATGATATTAAATTGATTTTTTTTGTTCCCGAAAATATCTCAAAATATATTACGAAATTAAATAATTTTACATATATCCAATTTTAAAATTAATAGTTAGATTTTTATGAAACTAATTTAAAAGATTTCCATAAATATTGGGTAGTTATTAATTTGTTGATTTTATGGTAACTATTTCAAACGATTTCCATAAATATCGGGTAGTTATTAATTTGTTTATTTAAGATTGGATTTTTTATATAAAAATATCAAATGGATACAAATATTTTTTCCGATTATTTGTTTTCCTTTTTCATATTCAAAAATACCAATGGCATTCCATATAATATTCTACAGCAAAAAATGTTCTTTATTTTCTAGTGATTTCTAATTATAGTATAGATTCCTTATCTAAATACTAAATCCTTTATTTTTAATTCTAATAAAAACTCATGAAATCGGAAATCAATCATGATTTTTTAAGCATCCTTAAATTTTGAAATCTCAATCATTCGAATATGCTAATCGGAAATACCTAACATTACTTTTCCAAATTAAATAAGTTAACACAAGAGATGTATTTTTAATCAAGTGGTTAAGTCCATTTGACTCCGCTTTCTTCACCGGAGTTCGACTCCCTAAGTCGCGTTATCCCGCGTAATAGAGATTGGCTATGGACCGAGCCTTGTCAATCCAAACATATAAAAAAAATTAAATAAGTTAACATATTTACAATTTCAAATTTTATTCGTTCCATCTATACAAATTAGATATTATTAATATATTTTCTTAAGTAAATAGATAAAAATCTGAAATATATAATGATATTAAATTGATTTTTTTTGTTTCCGAAAATATCTCAAAATATATTAAAAATTAATTTTATATATATACAATTTTAAAATTAATAGTTAGATTTTTATGGAAACTACTTTAAAATATTTCCATAAATATTTGGTAGTTATTAATTTGTTGATTTTATGGAAACTATTTCAAACGATTTCCATAAATATCGTGTAGTTATTAATTTGTTGATTTAATATTGGATTTTTTTTATATAAAAAAATATCAAATGGACACAAATATTTTTTCCGATTATTTTTATTTCCTTTTTCAAATTCAAAAATATCAATGGCATTCCAAGTAATATGCTACAACAAAAATGTTCTTTATTTTCTAGAGATTCTCAATTAATAGTATAGATACGCAGGACGAGCCTGGTTTTTGAATACATGTCCCTTATGGACGTCTAAACGGCGCACAAGTGGCAGACTCCGATTTTACCCTTTTTTGGTATACTTCACGCGTTTTGAATCCTACCCTCGAGACTGAAGTATACCTTACCCTTTTTTGAAGTATACTTCACGCTTCTTTGGATCCGTTAAGATGGGTTTCCTATCTTCTTTTTAAAGGATTGTAATCTTCTTTTTATTATATTTGCCAAGATTACTATACTTTTAGGTAATGCCCTATAATACCTAACTTTTCATTT